CTAGTTCAGTCTTTGAGCTATCGAATTGGATGGCTGACTCCTCTGCTAGTCTAAAGAGATTCTGAATCTCCTTTTCTAGTAGCTTGATATTCTTCCTTACTGACGTAGATGATATTGAGATCTGGAGGTCGTCTATACCTGCATCGCGATAGGAACGACAGGTACTTTGACTTTGCTTCAGCGTCGCCCTTTCTCTATAAGATGTTCGTACTCAAAAACTTTGCAGCACTAACTATAGGCAATTTTCTAGCTATTATAGAATATAAGTTCTAAAATTACATAGTACTCATTGCTGCGTTGCTTAGTTTGCGATGGACGTACAATAGCTGTGCAACACGACGGCTGCTACAACAACGCCAAATTAGCCTTCTGCTTGCTAAAAAATAGCGTAACACGTGCTAAGGCTATGCTAATACTATCTATCTAATACTAAAGCTACCTCTAGTTGCATGTGTGCTGCAAAATTAGTCTCCTCTACAGAGGGAGGTACAAGCAACGTGCGATAGCGATAAAAGCGGACGCGGTGGTATTATTATGTAATCGTCGCCTGCGCAGCCCTGTGTACGGAGTACCGCTCGTATATTACTCGGCACGGATCCTTTCAGCACTTCGCATCTCTTGCACGAAGTCCGTGTGCCTAGGCTGGCGGAAGGACGTCGCGTTACACGCCGCAGATCATGCCCCGCCAGCGGTGCTGCGAAGCGCCAGCAGGGCTGCTCCCCAGTCGCCCTAGCCGCTACCAGTTCCCACAATATATCCTGAACCTTCGTTTAGCAGTCTTGAGTCCGTCAGGGGAGATACGGCAACGCCCGAGGCTAAGCACGCGGTCGTTCCAAGCCTAGCCTGCACGCTCCTTCAGCCTCGGCGCTTCACAGCACCACTGGCGGGGCGCCATTTGCGCCGCCTGCTGCACAGCACACATCCCGCAGCCCGCAGCTCAGCCGCCAGCCTTGTTGCCAGCCTACACAAAGGCTCCTCGCCCACCATGGACGCTCGCTATGCGTCTGCTGTCGACCTGTCCCAGCACGCTCTACAACCAACCAACATATCTGACCACAAAACACCGCCATGGCACAGCGCGTCGCGACCCAGCACGGCGGCGAGCCCAACCCGCTCGACACTACTGGCCTGTGCCTGCTGTCCCTCGATGGCGGCGGCGTACGCGGCCTGTCAACGCTCTACATCTTAAAGAGCATTATGGACCGACTGAGCCGAGAGCTCGAGAAGAATCCTCCACTGAAGCCATGCGAAGTGTTTGACCTCATCGGGGGGACTAGCACCGGCGGGTGAGTAGACATGCTGCTTATCGAGTGGGACTGACATGGCCACGACAGGCTGATTGCCATCATGCTTGGCCGGCTCGAGATGAGCGTCGACGAATGCATAGACGCATACAGCGAGCTCGCTGCAGACGTGTTTGGCGAGAAACTGCACCGGCTTCCGGTCACTATCAGAGGGGCAGTTCAGCCGCGATTCGACTCGGCGAGACTGGAGAGTGCGATTCGAAAGGTGGTAGCTAAAGGCGGTGCGTCTGAGACCGCCTTGTTCAACGACGGGACGGAGCGTGGATGTAGAACGTGAGCAATGTTCGACTTGTGCTAAAAGCCTGGATTCTGACGAGAACAGCTTCGTGTGCTCTATCGACCGCGACACAAAGGACATGGTCCGTCTCCGGAGCTACAGCCTTCCTGATGAGCCGGCCATCCGTGCGACCGTGTGCGAAGCTGCCCTTGCAACGTCCGCTGCCACCACCTTCTTTAGCCCGGTTAGCATCGGAGACCGTACCTTTGCTGACGGCGGCTTTGGTGCGAACAACCCAGTAGACGAGGTGGAAGGAGAAGCAGCTAATATCTGGTGCTCGGAAACGGGGGACTTAAAGCCGCTGGTCAAGTGCTTCATTTCTATTGGGACTGGCAACCCAGGCAAGAAGCCGTTCGAGGACGGCCTGCCCAAGTTCTTAAGCGAGACGGTGGTGCAGATTGCAACCGAGACAGAGGCAACCGAGAGAAAGTTCATCGCTCGGTGGGCTAAGCACTTCGATGAGAAGCGGTATTTTCGCTTTAACGTTGAGCAGGGACTGCAGAACATTGGGCTAGAAGAGTATAAGAAGAAGGGCGCTATCGAAGCCGCTTCGGAGGGGTATCTTACGCACATAACACAGAAGTTTCGGGTGCGTAACTACATTAAGAACCTACAGCAGAAGCAGAGTGTGTATATTGAGGACTTCGCCTAGTATATAGAGCAACCTAGCCCTAACTTTATATAGATAAAGCAGAGTTGTCTTTTGGAATATCTATTCGTGTAAGTACTATCTTAAGCCTAAAGTGTAGTCAACCTACTAAGTTTGCATAGGAGTTCACTAAGCGCTGCATTACACAACGTTACAGGCGTAGGTAGTGTATATCTAACGTTGCGCATCTTAGTGCTAAAATATAGACAGCAAAAAACGTGCACTGGATAGTACCTCGTCTAGCTAACAGTCTATTCACTGGGCGGTTATAGCTTGTTGATCGGATCCAGAGCGCATTGCGCAACAGCGAGCCAGGCACACCTGAGCAGAAGCGACTAGTCATCACGGGCATAGGCGGCATAGGCAAGAGCGAGGTATGCCTCAAGGTGGCAAGCCTAGTGCGAGAAGAGTGCGTTGTAGCTTCGCTATGCTAGATATAAGCGTATTTGCTAACAGCGAACAGCTTCTGGGGCGTGTTCTGGGTAGACGTCGGCAGCCCATTAACAGCCAAGAACGGCTTCTTGGCTACCGCGAAGACGCTCGGGTCGCCTGCGGAGAGCGTTGAGGAATCACTCCAGGCGCTCGCTAACACGCCCGACCGCTGGCTGCTAATCCTAGACAACGCCGATGATCCCACGTTCGACTATACAGCATACGTCCCGTCTGGGGCGCAAGGCGCAGTGATCATGACGTCGCGTGTGCCTGAGTGCAGCTAGTATAGCACGCTGCCTGCCGAAGCGCTCGAAGGTCTGGAGGAAGAGCAGTCGATGCAGCTTTTGCTCAAAGCCGCTCGAGTGCCACAAGAGGCTTGGCAGGCTTGCAGAGAGCAGGCGCAGGCTGTCGTGCGACTGCTAGGATCACACACGCTTGCGCTGATCTAGGCGGGGGCGTATATTGCAGAAGGGTACTGTCGACTAGACCAGTATGCCGGGAAGTATAAGCGGCTGCGCGAGCGGCTGCTTAGGCACTATCCTACGCAGCAGCAGTCACGGTACCGGCATGTTTACGCGACGTTTGAAGCGTCTGTTGGGGTGCTGAGCGATTCTAAGGATAAGGTTGGTCGAGACGCGCTAGACTTGCTTGGGGTTCTCTCTATGCTGCACTCTAGCGTGCTGCCACTTGACGTCTTCCTAGGCGCGTGGGAAGGAGCTCGAGATGTGGTTGAGACCGACGACGGCCAAACTGACGAGATAGACGATCTTAGACCATGGCACACGTCTCAGCTGCCAAAGTTCATCGACCAACAAGCAGACAAGTGGGACGACTACAGGCTTAACAGGGCAAGCGCTCTCCTTGTGTCGCTTTCGCTGGTGACAAGACACCGCTCAGACGACCTGGACGGATTGTCGATGCATCCACTGGCGCACGCGTGGGCGAATGACCGGCTAGATTGGAAGCAGCAGCAAGTAGCGTGGGTAGGTGCAGGATGTATTCTTGTTTTGTCGCGTAGCAAGTCGGAGACATGGCAGGTGTACGAAAGGCAGTTACGACCGCATATGCAGTCTTTTCTGTCGCCTAGGGTTGAGGAGATGTTATCGTTTGGCCCACCTGGGACAATGCTGCCTATCTTGCTAGAGTGCGGCTGGGCGTTGAATAACATGAGAGAGGACAAGAAGTTAGAATCGTTACTAAAGAGTATCTATGAGGTTCTCGAAATCACGCCTTCAGATCCATCACGAGAGCACATAGAGATATAGGACCTTGCGGCGAGAAATCTAGGATACTTAGGTGATGTTAGGCAGGCGGTAGAACTGCTCGAGCACGTCGTCAAGGTGCGGGAGACTACGCTAGCAGAGACTCACCCCTCTCGGCTAACATCGCAACACGANATTCTGCCACTTATCTGACAAGATATTAGCGATCAATTCATACCCGCCCGAAGTGATCCAACTAGTGTAAGCTGTACGATAGTCGCTGCCAGGGTATGTACCGATCTATATCCGAGCGGCACGCAGGGCTTTATAGTTGAAGATTACATAACAGTATTGTTATAACGTACCTCACGGGTTCGTGTCTCACACGGGTTCGTGTCACAGTTTTGCCAAGACCCCACCAAAACACCTACTACCCCCTAATGTCACAACAATTACAGCACTCACAGTCTTTTCGTGAACGTCAAATACAGCTTGCGCTTCAAGCTCTTAAACAAGACGCGAATCTCCCAGTTCGACGCGCTGCACGTATCTTTAACGTCTGTTATAAGACACTTAGCCGTCGACGCGAAGGACAACCCTCACAGGCAGATCGCGAGTCTAAAACAATGAATCTAACTAAGCTTAAGGAGGTGGTAGTTGTTGAGCATATACTCGATCTTGATTCACGTAGATTTCCCCCTAGGCTCGCAGATATAGCTAATATAGCCAATTCCTTGCGCGCTGAGCGCAATCTGGGCCAGGTTGGCCAAAACTAGCCCAGCACGTTCGTTAAGCGCCGCCCTGAGCTTAAAGTAAAGTTTAATCGCAAGTACGACTACAAGAGAGCACTCTGTGAGGATCCTAAGGCTATTCAAGACTAGTTTGGCCTAGTAGCTAACATGAAAGCTAAGTATGGTATCCAAGATGACGACACGTACAACTTTAATGAGACGGGCTTTATAATAGGCTAGATTGCCCCTAGAGCTGTTGTTACAGCTTCAGAGAGACGTAGACGACCAAAGACTGTCCAGCCTAGCAACAGAGAGTGGGCAACAGTCATCCAGGGTATCAATGCGACCGGGTGGACGATTCCGCCCTTCATCATACTCAAGGCGCGCCACCACCTCTCAAGCTGGTACAAGGACGGCGATATACCCTATAACTGGGTTATTGGAGTCTCTAAGAACGGCTGGACGACCAATAAGCTTGGTCTTACGTGGCTAAAGCACTTTGATAAGCATATAAAGAAGAAGGTAGTGGGTACCCACCGCCTACTCTTTATTAACGGCCATGAGAGCCACAACTCGCTGGATTTCTAAAAATACTATAAAGATAACAATATTGTTACTCTTTGCATGCCTCCACACTCATCTCACCTCTTACAGCCGCTTGATGTGGGCTGTTTTGCCCCTTTGAAGCAGGCCTATGGGCGCCAAGTCGAATCGCTCATGCGCACTCACATTAACCACATCACCAAACAAGAGTTCCTACCTTGCTTCAAGCGGGCTTTTAACGCATCATTCACAGCTAGCAATGTCCAAGGAGGGTTTCGAGGCGCTGGATTGGTCCCATTTAACCCAGAACGGGTCATATCAACCCTTAACGTCAAGCTGCGCACTCCATCACCCCTACTTATCAACAACCAGCCCTGGGTGTCGCAAACCCCTAGTAATACCCTAGAATTAGGGTCGCAATCGACGCTGGTAAAGCAGAGGATTCAGAGGCACCTAGACAGCTCACCAACGTCTATAGTAGAGGCTTTTAAGAAGGTCTCAAAGGGAGCAGCTATTATCGCGCATAAGCTAGTATTGGCACAAAAACGGATCAGTAAGCTTAAAGCAGCTAACGCAGCCGCCACGCGACGAAAATCGCATAAAAGAAAGCGGGTTCAGGCAGAGGGGACCTTAACAGTTAAAGATGGGGCGCGCTTGACTGCTCTCCAGGACTTTAGGGTGCGTAGTGATGGGAAGAAGTCAAAGAAGCAGAAGCGCGCTGAAGTGGGTGAACCGTCTCAACGGCGGTGTGGACGGTGCAATAGGACTAGGCATAACGCGCGAACGTATAAGAATGTAGCAGAAGTAGACTCTAAATAACATTTTATGTTTTTTTGCATCAAACTAGCCAAGGTTGGGCTGTTTTAGGCTATAATGTGGTGGTTTTGGTGGGGTCTTGGCAAAACTGTGACACGAACCCGTGTGAGACACGAACCCGTGAGGTACGTTATCCGCTTTTGGCGCTGTCATACAGTGCATGTACCTCCCTGCGTAGCGGAGACTAGCTCTACAGCGCGTATGCTGCTAGACGCTACTTTATGATTGTATGCATAATACTATAAGGGCTTAAGTATCTATAAAGCTAAGTTTTAATAAGCTAGAGGCTAAGACTGCGCTGTTATGGCTTATACTAAGTTGTGTAGATGCTGCGCGTTCAAGGTAAACCAAGCAACGCAGTAATGCATTTGGTGTAATTTTTAGATATAAATAGTAAGATATATAGAGAAATAGCTACTAATAATATTATAAAATTTTTAATTATAACTATACTGAAGAGAAGAGTTGAAGCTGGTGCAAAGTCAAAGTAGCTGTCGTTCTTATCGTGACGCAGGGGTCTTTCGCTATGCAGGGGGGGAGGTTAGTCAGATCCCGTTACTCTACAAAAAAACAATAACATATTTTGCAACTAATGGCGTATGATTAAAACGGCAGCAGTACCTCGTATAATTACATAAGGATCACAAGAGGCTATTCAAGTTACCCTTTGCGCTAGAAACATGTCTGTCATGCCTCACCCTTACTATGCCTCGCGATTCAGGCGCTTATCCCTAATATGAGTCTATTATATCATTCATCATTCCTGCGGAGAAGCATATAAAACAACTTAAAGAAGTTAACCGCCGAACTTTCACGAGGCGAAAGAGCAACTAGGTACATAGGCTATTTAACTTAGATGAGTTAAGTAACTAACCGGTTAGTAATGCTTGCGATCCGTGTATAGAACTCGTATCAAGAATCATATAAAGTAAGGCAAGGATGTTACTATAGATGTGTCAGGATAGATAGGATGGCATAGAGATCATTTTTGACTATAAAAAGAGCTTTTTTATAGGTATATGTATAGTATTTATATGCAACATGCAGCAAGGACGCAGCGCTGGTAACGGGTAAGTATCGAAGTAGTGGCCACGTTCAAAAACTAACAGGAGCTTGGATTGAACAATACTTAAACAGAAGCAAGAGAACTCTAGATAATGTACTAATCAGCAGTGGGAGTAACCACATTCTTAGAAGCCACTAAATTTCCAGCACCTTCCCCGGGGCAAACCGATGTAGTAGTCCCATTTCTGCACATGTAACTGCCCACTTGCTCTTTGAAAGTACCAGATACCTCCTTTAGGCCGGGGTACCATTGCCCTTCTCCTTCTACATCTTTATATACCGTATTACATGTATCATCACTAAATGATTAGAGGCTTGCTTATAGACTCAACATAAGATCGGACATACCTAAAGAATTGGCAGCATAAACCTAAGTCGATTGCAATAGACGCAACATTATTAAGCCTGTCGGCGGCTACGCAGCGGTCGGATGATATGATTGGTGCAGCACATTCGCTCCATGCTGTCTTTGAACAAAAGTGTAACTTCGCCTAGCTGTTAACTTTGATTCTAAGCGCATAATG